GGTCTTTTGCAGAAATGCTTAAGACAGCCAAGCCATCGACCAACGAAACAAATCCCTTCGCTCTTTTGTCAGATGACGAGTCTGGCTCTGACTTGGCTGAGGAGGGAGTTTCTTTCAGTTTTCCGGAAGGTTCTGCCCGGAAACGAAAACGCATCCGTTCGCGGAAAGTTGCAGATCAAGAACCCCAAATCAGCTTGCCCAAATCAAGGAGTGGTGGAAAAAAGGAGACTTCTACTCCTCCTGGATTCCGCAGAACTGATTATACCCAGGATTTTCCACCTCTCCCGGGGACATCCAAAACCCCTGATGGCCCATTTTTAAGAACAGAAGCCCCATCTTCATCCGGGTTGTTCTCATTTGATAAAATTGTGGACGATATTCTCAAGTACCTCAATATTTCTGATCCTCTCAAAAGCATTGTTCTGACAATGCTTCCTTCGGTGAAGACCCTCTTGAAGCAATTGACATTGAAGTGGCCCCTCATTGCAGCAATCATCTCCTTCGATGGATAATTTTCCAAACGAGGTCGGGGATTTGATCACTGTTCTACAGTGGAATTGTCGAAGTCTTATTCCTAAGATAGAATCGTTTAAGTTTTTGGTTCACAATAATGATTGTGATGCATTTGCTCTGTGTGAAACTTGGCTCTCTTCAGATATCGATCTTCCTTTTCATGATTTTAACATTATTCGACTGGATCGTGAGGATTCGCGTGGAGGAGGGGTACTTTTGGGGATCAAAAAGTGCCATTCCTTCTATAGAGTGAATCTTCCCGAATTCCCCGGTATTGAAGTTGTCGCATGTCAGGCTTTTGTTAAAGGCAAGAGCCTTTGTATTGCTTCTGTGTATATTCCTCCCCGAGTTTCGATTAGTCAAAAACAACTTTCAGATATCTGTTCAGTACTTCCTGCTCCACGGTTGATTATGGGAGATTTGAATTCCCATGGTACAGGCTGGGGGGAACTGTATGATGACAACCGTTCTACTTTGATATATGACCTCTGTGATAACTTCAATATGACAATTCTTAACAATGGAGAAGTAACACGTCTGGCTGGTCCATCCTCAAATGGAAGTAGATTAGACCTCACACTTTGCTCTAATTCATTATCGTTGGATTGCACGTGGAATGTGATCCAGGATCCCCACGGTAGTGATCACTTGCCGATCGGCATTTCGATTGCCAGTGGGTTCAATTCGTCGGAATCCGTTAACGTCGCGTACGACCTCACCCGTAATATCGATTGGACAACGTTCAAGACCGCGATAGATGAAGCCGTGTCGTCGGTAGAAGAGCTTCCACCGTTGGAGGAATATAACTTCCTCTCCAATCTGATCTTGGACAGCGCGCTTCGAGCTCAAACTCGGCCGGCTCCAGGAACGTCTTTTCGTAGGAAACCTCCTACCTCTTGGTGGGACCAGCAATGCACTGAGGTTTGTCGTAAAAAGTCCGACGCGTTTAAGCTTTTCCGGAAACGCGGAACACCCGAGTATTTCGAAGCGTACTCGACTCTTGAACACGAACTCAAGAGCCTCATCAAAGCCAAGAAACGCGGATACTGGCGGCAATTCGTGGACGGTTTATCGCGCGAAACGTCGATGAATACGCTTTGGAACACGGCGCGAAGGATGCGTAACCGGTCTTCAAACAACGAGAGCGAGGAGTACTCGGATCGGTGGATTCTCAAGTTCGCGCGAAAAGTATGTCCTGATTCCGTGCCGGCACAGATGATTCCTCGCGAAACGACGAATTCGGTAGACGAGATCAGCCAGCCTTTTTCAATGCTGGAGCTCTCACTCGCGCTCCTTTCGTGTCGCAATTCGGCTCCGGGGGCTGATAGGATCAGGTTCGACTTGTTGAAGAACCTCCCAGACGTCGCTAAGAGGCGCATGTTGAACTTGTTTTGTCAGTTCCTGGAGTTCAATATTGTTCCAGATGATTGGAGGCGAGTGAGAGTTATAGCCATTAAAAAGCCTGGAAAACCCGCGTCAGATCATAACTCGTATCGTCCCATCGCGATGTTATCGTGCATTCGAAAATTGTTGGAGAAAATGATCCTTTTTCGCCTCGAAAAATGGGTTGAAACGAACCACCTACTCTCAGATACTCAATTTGGTTTCCGTAGGGGCAAGGGAACGAATGACTGTCTCGCGTTGCTTTCCACTGAAATTCAGTTGGCTTTTGCTAATAAAGAGCAAATGGCATCTGTCTTCTTGGATATTAAGGGGGCTTTTGATTCAGTATCGGTTGAAGTCCTTTCAGACAAACTCCACGCTTGTGGCCTTTCCCCATTAATTAATAACTTTTTGTACAATTTGCTGTCAGAGAAACATATGAGCTTTTCTCATGGAAACTCTACAGCTTCTCGATTTAGTTACATGGGTCTCCCCCAGGGCTCATGTTTAAGCCCCCTTTTGTATAATTTCTTCGTCAGAGAAATTGACAATTGTCTAAGTGACAACTGCACGTTGAGACAACTTGCAGATGACGGCGTAGTGTCTATGACAGGGCCCAAAGGGGTCGACCTGCAAGGACCCTTACAGGATACCTTAGACAATTTGTCTACTTGGGCTATTCAGCTAGGTATCGAATTCTCCACGGAGAAAACTGAGTTGGTCGTTTTTTCTAGGAAGCATAGCCCAGCACAACCAAAGCTTCAACTTTTGGGTAAACCGATCACTCATTCTATGTCCTTCAAATATCTTGGGGTCTGGTTCGATTCAAAATGCACCTGGAGATCCCACATTGAGTATCTGAGACGAAAATGCCAACTAAGGATCAATTTCCTTCGATCAATTACCGGAACGTGGTGGGGAGCCCATCCACAAGATCTTCTGACGTTGTACCGGACAACGATTTTATCGGTTTTAGAGTATGGTAGTTTTTGCTTCCAGTCGGCGGCTAAAACTCACATCATCAAACTGGAACGGATCCAGTATCGTTGTCTTCGTATCGCGTTAGGATGCATGCACTCGACTCATACGATGAGTCTCGAAGTGTTGGCGGGCATGTTGCCACTATCAGATCGGTTTTCGGAATTGTCCCTCAGGCTCCTCACCCGTTGTGAAGTTATGAACCCACTGGTAATCGAAAACTTTGAGAAGCTTCTTGAGCTAAACCCTCAAACTCGTTTTATGTCATTGTACTACGTGTACATAACTCAGGATGTCAGCCCTTCACAGCATAATCCCCATCGTGTATGCTTCTCCGACTTCGGCAATTCAGTTAGTTTTGATTTATCTATGACGCGGGAGATTCGTGGAATCCCAGAACATCATCGTTCCATGATTGTTCCGTCAATTTACGCTGCAAAGTTTGGCCAAGTTGATTCCGCAAGATCGTTCTTCACAGATGGATCACTAATAAAGTCGTCCGCTGGTTTTGGTATTTTTAACGAATTTCATAGCGCCTCTCGAATGCTTCAAGCTCCTTGTTCCGTATATGTTGCTGAGCTGGCGGCAATACACTATACGCTAGAAACGATCGCCTCACTTGCACCAGATCACTATTTTATTTTTACGGATAGTCTCAGTTCTGTCGAGGCTATTCGATCCATGAGGCCGGTAAAGCACTCCTCGTATTTTCTCATGAAAATACGAGAGCTTCTGAGTGCTTTATCTTTAAGATCTTTTGTCATCACCTTTGCATGGGTCCCATCTCATTGCTCGATTCCGGGCAATGAGAAGGCGGACTCACTTGCTAAGGTGGGCGCTATGCAAGGCGATATTTACGATCGACAAATCGCCTACAATGAATTTTTCTTCATTTATCGTCAACAGTCGCTCGCCAGCTGGCAAAATAAATGGAGTGAAGGAAGTTTGGGACGATGGCTATTCTCGATCATCCCTAAGGTGTCGAAGAGTCCTTGGTTCAAGGGGTTGGATGTGGGTCGAGACTTCATTCGTCTGATGTCTCGCCTCATGTCCAATCACTATTCGTTAAACGCTCACTTGTTTCGTGTTGGGCTGGGAGACAGCAATCTCTGTGAATGTGGACAAGGTTACCAAGACGCCGATCACATCCTTTGGTCTTGTGCTGAGCATCGTGGAGTCAGATCTGAGCTGTGCGATTCCCTTCGGGCTCGAGGTAGACAACCTAATGTTCCAGTTCGGGATATTTTGGCTAGACGCGATCTGGAGTTTATGAAACTCATATATGTTTACTTTACGAATACTAACCTTAGATTGTAAGTTTGATTAACCTTGTATTTAGTTTGTGTATTGTGCGTGTAGTTTTTTTTTTAATGTTTGTTTTCAAGATGAATAGAAATAAGTTCATGTTTTAGGATTAATTAAATATTTGTATAATAAATCATATTTCAAACCTCCTTCTCCCTTTCCCCATCAAAAAACTGTAAATCTCCACTAACCTCGAGACGACCGCGAGTAATCGGTTCAATTCCTTTAACTCTTGATTTAAGACATTAATCATGTATAATGCAAATGATAACCCGGCTCTGTAAAGTTTATTCGATTGAGCCTGTACAAATAAATTAATATAAAAAAAAAAAAAAAAAAAAAAAAAACAATGTTTGTTTTGATTCGCTTTCATAGCGACAGATGAAATGAGGGGTTCGTGGATTTTCCTATGTTTCGAGGGGTGTATCGATTAGCTTGGGACCGAAGAAAGTACCAGAGCTGAGCCAAAAAGTTGAGCACGTTTCTTCGGGACCTTCTGGTCTTAGAGTTACCTCTATGGTACGTTTCTTCGATAATGGCCCTTATTGCGGCAGTCACTTCACGGTGAATACGAAGTGATGTGACAAGTTGTCATTTACGGTGAAGTGATTCCCGGGCAAATCAAATGGGAATCACTGCACCGTGAGTGAAAAGTTGTCACTTCACTTCGTATTCACCGTGAAAAACACCCTAGTTGACACAGAAATAAGTGAATTTTGTTACAATCAATGAACAATGAATTATCGGCTCCGTAAAACTAACGCAATTGTGCCTTCCAAATAAATGAAAATCAAGCCTATTAAAGCAATTAAAAAAAAACATTTCTCCGTGAATCAATTCCACTTTATTATCGAGCTACAGCTTCGAAACTATTCCCGTGGATCATAAATCTGTCCAATGAAGAACGGATATCGTTCCTGCTTATCGACAACCATCACCAGGAACGGTTGATCAACGTCGAACCTTACATCCTTGTACTGGGGAGTGATGCTCAGCGTAATGATCGACAGCGAAGCCACCGAGGTAGCCTTGGTACCGAACTCATCCACGCTCATGTACGACCGCTGAGTGATATCGGAAACCACCGTCGATTCATTGGCCAGGTACTGAAGAGCGTCACCATCCTGGAAGATGGAATGCAAGCCCATCCTTTTCAAGGCCGGTATAAGCGACACCGTATCCGTCAGCGTAAACTTCGGCATGTGCAGGTGAACCTTGGTGTTGATGTAGGAAGCTTGAATTTCTGCCATCACCTTGGCCAGATCTTGGGGTTTCAGTTGACGGAGGGATGCTTCCAGTTGATGCCGCTGGGTGGGCAAGAATATCAACATAGCTAGGTTTGCACCCTCGTACGGAAGTTCTACCCAGCGAAGGCCGTTGCCATCGGCGAAGCTCAGCTCACCGTAACGAAGTTTGTTCAGTTGGAACATTTTACTGAGCTGGCGTGGATTGTTTGGACTCGACTCAAACGATCCGGGGTTCGTCTCGATGAAGGTGTACTTCCACTTGCCTTTGAAGTAGATGGTGTTTGCCAACAGCACGCGAGTGTAAGGATTGATTGCACCTAAAGTGGGTGACATTCGTTAGGATTGAATTATTGTTTAGCAGACTAGACAAACATACCGGGATTAAGAACCTCGTTGATAAGGCGGTGGGTTTTTTCGGAGACCCATTTGTTAGCTGTATTGGCCGCTAGAGTCGGTTTGCCAAAGTCCACTGATAGTACGTCCACATTCCGTAGTCGAACATCGTTTAGATAAGTGTTGTTCAGCTTAACATCCTTGGCTACGAAGTTGGCCGCTGCGGTTTCGATAGTGTTAGGCGATGATTTGGAAACCTTATCGAAGGTCTTGGTCATATCCGATAACCGGTGTGAATCCAATATTATGGTATTCTGCAGTTGTTGCCGGGCTATTGGACTAGCGTAATCCACCAGATTCGATAGGAGTAGTTGCGGCAGAAGAGGGCTGATCACGGAATCTCCATTCGCTGGTCGATCCAGATTCTGCAATGTGGAATTGGTTAGTATACTGGCATATCTGGAAATTGAGCCTCTAAACCACCTTGAATAGATTGAGAGCAAAGTGCATGGCTTGGTAGCCTCGAGAGCCGATCTCAATCGGCACTCTTTCGTCATCGTAATCATAATCGTTGCTATTCGAGGGGGTGGTAGCACCGGAATATTGCGACTGGACAGCAGTAGGATGGCTAGGCCGCGGATTCTGTGTATAAGCCGACGTCGAAGTCTTCACTTTAATGTTATTTTTGGAATCATCGCCGAACATGAAAACATGCGAACCAGTCTGTACCTGATGTGGGCTGGCAGTTGTCTGTTTGAAATTTTGCGTCAGTTGGTCTGAAGGGAAATAAATCTGTGAAGCTGCCAATCGTACAATGTTTGGCTCATCGAAAGAATTTCTGTTACTGATCACGGGATGGCATCCGTTTTGGATGAATTGGTAGCCTTGCTGATTGATAGCGCACAGATGCAAATCTGGATTGGCTCGGATATGATCTACCAAGTGGTTACAGCATGGAATCATTTGAAGGCCTTGGCAAAGCGACTGAAAAGCTTCGAGGGGCATCAAACCTAGCGATTGAGAAGTGAGATGTTATGAGAAGTAAAATGAAAGTAGCACATTCGTTTTGATCTCATTTACTGTTTCTCGATGAAGATGTACAATATGTATCCACAATACGAAAATTGATTTGTTGCACCTGGTTGGTGGCTAAAATCGGGGATACTACGAACAGGAACACTGCAAAAAAAAATAGAAAAATTTAACTTATTATATTTTTTTCAACTTTTTTACTTTAGATTTGCAATATTTAGAGCTTGGAACAAAGAATTTCAATATTAGAATAAATTTGGAAGCAAGGAGTAAATAGTTTTTTTAGTATAGTTAAAATTTTGAATTGAAGTTCAATGCATCAAATAACTTGAACCTTAAGAAATCAAATTTGGTTTGAGTTATGCTATTTTTTTTTTAAATATAGCATATTTTTGACTTTAGGTAAAATTATCAATTTTCCATGGAATTCATACTAAACCACCTTTAAATTACAAATTTCTTGAATTAGATGCCTTTAGATATCTTCGAATGTTTCCTAACATTTTCTGAATACATATTTTGTTGCACCATTTTGTTTAAATGTACTCTTTAGAAATCTAAATGAATTAATGTACTTTAACCAGAGCCGTACTCAGGATTTTTGTTCGGTTTCGAACTCTCAGCGAACTCTTTCACTTACACGAAGCCCTCATTAATTCCATAATTGTAGTCTTGAAGAGAAAGGGACATACAATCTCTGATCACGCCTTCCTTCGGAAGTAAAGCCGTTGATCCCCGGTCCGTGAGTTGATGGGTCGATAGGTAGGGTCCAGGTGAGGGAGCTGCCTCCCTGCCCAAGTAACATTTCTGGTTTTATGAGGGTTCTGTAGACAATGATTTAGATTTGTAGAGTGCTTTAAAACCTCGATAAAACTAGCAATGTTGCTTGGGTGGCGTCGGTAGCATTAGTACTCAGTACGGAAAACAAATCAAGGAAAAAAAATAGAAAGGGATATCTCGGGTCTACTTTTGATTAGACCACTCTAAAATGATCGATTCTCTTCATCGACTCTCTCTTTCGTTATTAACTCGGCTCCAAAAACATGTTTATCTGTTCTTATCAATTTTCTAGAATTTTTTCAATGCAGAGTTGTAACAGATTGTATTGGCTATCAAAAGCAACAGCAAACGCACCAAGAAACGTTAATTCGCTAGAGTTATTAACAAAAGAGAAAATCGATGAAGAGAATCGATCATCGCGTATACGCCCTTATGCATGCTCACTGTCAAATTCTTTCTATTATACCTGTTTACTCTGACATAGAGCGGCAGTTATTGAGGTTAATTTAGAAAAAATCTTCAACGATATCGACGGTTAAACATGGATCACCGTAATGACAAAAAATTTACGAAATTCTGCGAACCACTATATTGTTTTGCCACAGACAAACAGAAATCACACTCGCAAGTTGATCATCGATCACGTATTTAACGAACAGTTTAAATATTGCTGATTCACATACATCTTAGCATCGACATTTCACAAATAAGAAGAAGCAACATCCGCAGCTGTCAAACATAAATACAACCGGATAATAACTATCATTCTTCGAAGCCTCGGTTCAAGACAGATCGATCCCTCTTGATGCAATCGACCCGATCCGCTGAATTATCAATTGTATCAATCAGGCTATAGTGGAACCACATGTAACCCTAGAATCTACTAAATAATTGTGGAGACGGTGTCCTCATGAAATGGAATAGTAGTAGCAACAATCAATACGAAACTAACGATTTTAAATTGGCTCACTACTTGACTGTACGGTGGTTGTCATCCATGCAGTCGGCGCCGGTGGTGTAGTGGTAAGCGTGACTGCTTTCTAACACCCCAACGGGTCTGGGTTCAATCCCAGCCGAGGTCGGTGGGATTTTTCTGAGGCATAAAAATCTCTGGTCACGTCTTCCTTCGGAAGGAAATAAAGCCGTTGGTCCCGGCCCATGTGTGTTGAATGGGTACGATATCCTACGCAGGAGTGAAAGCTGCCTTCCTGCACATTCGATTGCCGTCAATGGATGGCAATCGATGTCCGTCGGTGATTGGCACTATATTGCGGAACAGAGACCGACGTTAAATAAAGGAAAGAAGAAAAAGAAGAAGAAGCATCCATGCAGCATCTATTTTAACCAGTTTGCATACACTGAATCTTTTCCGTAAGCCTTTTTGTTGGAATTTTCCTTAACTATGTGATTGCGCACGGGCGGGTTTCCTACGTTGTGTTGTGATACGGATAAGTACCATAGAGGTAACTCTAAGACCACTGGGTCCCGAAGAAAATCATTATTATTTTTGGCTCACTCAGTACCAGAACAACGGTCCCAAGCAGTCCCAAGCTATTTCACTCACCCCTGCATGTTCTGCATGAATCCACATACCCCTGATGTTATCTGTCAAACTTTCATAGCGAATCAAAACAAACATAGTGTAGTAATAGAATTTCAACTAGAATAGGGTACGTTAATCGTTTGCTTGGGACCAATAGGCTAGTCAAGTAGTGAGCCAATTTAAAATCGTTAGTTTCTACCGGTTGGTTTGAGTTCGGATTTCGGTTGAAGGCCCCAACTACGCGGTTGTGATTTTTGGTGTTGTACGGAATACTTTTTCCTTCACTTCTGGGCTTCCGATCGGTGGTCAACCGTTCCTCGAACCGCTTAATCACTCGCGACACCGTGGAATTCGCGATTCCCAACGTTTTAGCGATGGAACGATGCGAGAGATCCTTGTTCTCGTGATGAATGCGCAAGATTTTATCACGCACGAGCTGTTCTTTCGACTCCATTTCCACGAGTTTTGATCACAGGACTTTAAAATTTGCAGGATGTAAATAATGCACTATGAACTAAATCCACCCAAATTTTCATTAAATTCTACCCAACGGTTAAAAAGTTAGAGCAATTTCATAGTGTGGCAATTTCATCGTGGACACTCTTTAAATCAGACGTGACGATTTTTCAGAGTGTACCGTACCAAATGCTCCAAGTTATGTAAGAGTTAATGTAACAATAATATGAGATGCAAGGACTATTTTATATAAAATAGTGTAATGGATAGATCTCACCAACTGCCTCCAATGTTTTAATTTATAGATAAAAATGGAATAATCGCACCAAAACTGGTAAACTTTTCAGAGCTCCGAAAAACTGCTATGAAATGTCACAAATGGAGACCTCCTTCGGTCGCTTCTTTCTTTTTTCGTAACTACCACTTGATGGACCAGGTGGGCCCTAATACCCCGTTCAAATTACAGCCTATATCACGTAATATAGGCTGTCTTGCAATGAGCACTCATACATAGGATTTCCAGTGAAAACTAGATGTATGAGTGCTCATTGCAAGACAGCGTATATCACGTAATGTGAACGGGGTATAATGGGGATATCTGAAGCTAGACACTCTCAACCGGTCCTTTTCCTAACCGATATAACACCAGTTACGATATTTTATCAATTAAAACGCACGCGCATAAGATTCACTACAATACCAATCAACCGTGCAAATACTTATCACACATTTTGAAGAAAGAAAAAAAACAATTTAAACTTGAAAAATCACTCCGTGGAAAAACAGATAAATTCGTGACAGCTCATGAAAACCCAACCGTCCGTGGGCTGAGCCTACTGCGATCAGTGGTATTTTTGATGACCTTCCCGATAATTATTGTCATGAATCAAATGTTATCATTCAATTCTTACTAAATCAGATTAAAAAATGATAAACAAAATGGTATTTAATCATCCCAAAAATATGTCTTTAATTATACTATAGTGATATAATTTTATCGTCCTCAAATTTTGCTAAGCACGCTTCGGCTTTATTAATTTGTTTTCTTTTTTGTTATGTGTAGTTTGGACCCATTCTTTCTAAATCATCCAGCTGATTTTGTCTGCAAAAAAATCCACGCACTCCTTGATGCAAAAAAAAACATTGCAAGGTGAATTTTAATACCTTCAGAATATTTTGAAAGCTCAGATATAGAGTTGAGGCTGAATAATCTAAATATTCACAATATGTCCTTATAATTCCGTGTCATTATTTAAATAGAGTGCAATTGCTTTTGTGAACTGGATTTATACAAATAAATGCTCACACACATACCATAAAATAACAGGAAGAGGAATATTTCAGGCATAACATTTGATAACGACACAAAAGCATTTGTAAACAAACTTTCTAAGGCCCTTTACACGTGAACCAAAGTACGCCCACGCAAACCAATACCACTTTCGGAAAGGTGAGAGTTGCCCCTATCCGATGATGTTGTTGGTTTGCGTGAGCGTACTTCGGTTCGCATTTAAAGGGCCTTAACAATTTTGTTTACAAAAGCTTTGTGCCGTTATCAAATGTTACGTCTGATTTCATCGAATAGTTTTTTTTTTTTTTATTTCGATATTCAGTTTTAGAATCGATGTTATAATAAGAGTCTTGCCAAGAGAAAATGTTACGAACAAGCAGCACTGTTTGTGATTTATTTTTCGCCAGAGTAAACGGCAACCAGATTGTTTGCGTTAGCATCGGATGACTTTCATTCAGAAGTGAAAAATTTCATGTCGATAACGAAGCTGCTATAACGTATAAATACCACAATGCACTAAATAAAGCGAAGAAATGTCTTTTATCTAAAATTACTAAAATATTATTATTAATGAATGCAATACTTGTAGTTCACTGGTTGTAGGAACAATAATGTTTATTTACTTTGCTTGTTTGTTACCCCGCTTGACAGTTCGATTGGTACTTCTGGCTTCACTCTTGGTGGGACTCTCTTATTATAACATTGACTCTGCTTCTGTCCTATTACGATCTATTCTTTCGATCCCGCTCGCATGCCATAGCCAATTCTTTTTTGAAATAAAATGCATCTGCATGAGTGTCGTTCCCCCTGGGTCATTGATACTTATGCGTGCTGTTATCATGTGTGCCTGTCGACTGAAATCCACTAGCATAGATGGCCCACACAATCATCCGGCACTTAAAGAGATGATACCGGTTTACCGTATAACTTGGGCCTTATGGGAAAACCCGGGATCACCCGTTTTCGAGTTCATCAATGCTTGCGGTGACTGTGACTGAAACTGGTCAAACCACTAGCTCTGATAATATAAAACTCGAGCTTGTTGTTCTTGTCGTTCGGTTCGGTCGGATGTGTATG